AACACAACCTGCTGAGAGCCAAGTTAATAGTCACCACAGTTTCCATTGTGGATAGATGAACAGGGAGGAACAATGGGCCACGCACAGTATTGATGTCAGGGTAGATTCCAGCTTGCTGATAACAATCTGTTTCTTGACCAGGGTGAAAATTAAGTAAGTGAAGTCAGTTTATATAAATCAATCAAAGCATAATGTTTATGCTTCATACACATTTGTGTGTATGCATATATACAACAATGTTTTTATATGTCTTATAAACATAAAGAGTTGTACCAGTCATTACGACCTTAATATCAAATGAGGAAGACAAGAGTAATACAAGTAAATTTACTATGCATCATAAATTATGAAATTAAAAAAAAAGAAAGAAGCCCAGGAATAAAGAGAAAGAACTACCAATGTGAGAGCAGCAAACACATGAATGTTTTTTAAAGCTAAGTGGCTTAGGGAAGGCAGGGAGAGAAGAAAGTACATTTTAAAGTTCTAGCTCCAGGGCAAGTAATAAAAATTATTGTGTTAATGTTTCAGGGCTTTTTTTTTTCCTTTGAGGCCTTCCCCCCCCCCCCCCCCGCACAATATTGTGAGCAGTGGGAAAGGCTTTTCCACCACAGCAGCCTTCAGGGCAAAATTTTCAGCCTCCTGAGCTAAATCAAACTGGCATCAACTCAGTTTTTCAAGGAACCACGATTGGTCTCTGCCTTCCACGAGGCTAAACCTGGCTGACAAAAAAAGAAACTAAACAGTTTTCCACTTATTTTATAGGCTTCCCTTATCCTCTTGTGCTCTTGTCAATTCATTGTAAAGGCCCTGGAAGCCCAGCATGCTGTCTTATCCCTGGATTAGAGGGAGGTAGAGATTGTATTTTGTCTGCACCATGAACTGTCCTTACACAGAAGCAGGTTGGCTGGCAGCACCTTACCAAGGACACAAAACAGTGCAAGAAACATCAGTGCTTAGTACTCATGTTTCAGATCCCTTTCACAGGGCCACTCCCTCTCAACATCATCCATTTCATAGTCTCTATACTGGAAAGACCTACTACATCGAAAATTAGGATGTATGAGCATCTATGTCAAAGGATCGGTCTACTAGAATCCCAAAGGAATTCAATAATATTTAAAATGACATGCTGGCCAGATAGCTTAGCGAATTAAATTGCCTGCTTAGACAGATGCAGGGACTCAGGTTGGATCCCCGAGTGCCATGCCGGCCCCTCCCCCAGGGCGTGCAGAGACTGCGACTGAGACTGGGCGTGGTGGTGCCTACCTATAATTCCAGCACTTGGGAGGCTAAAAAACAGGAGGATCACTATGGATCCAATCTAGATAGTGAGACCCTTGTAGACCCTGTACTAAATACATAAAAAAATAAACAGATAGATAGACAGATAGATAAAATAAAAAGACAAAGCAGCCAACTCCTCTATAATTCAGTCCTAGTCTTTGCACTCTTGGGTTTTCATTCTAAATTGCCCTCATTGTCTTAGACTTTGTATGTACATCCTGGAACACACATAGACCACAATTCTTCAACAGTACAAAAGCTTTAACTAGCAGAGATTGTGTTTCCTGGAGAATATCTACCTCCATCTACTTGTGTTTTGAGTCCTGACTTTTTCATCTTCCAAGCACTATTTCTACTTAAGAAGGTCAAGTAGGGATTACAAGAGACCTATGTCTCAGAGTTACAGTGACAATTAAATGGGAGTAGGTGTAACAGTGCCTAGTGCATAGTCCCAGCTTCATAAATGTCAACTTGGTTACATTCCATGACTATCACATGACTGCCTAACAGGCTCTTTGGGAAAAGAATCTCAGAGCCAGCTTTTTGGAAAACCAAGCAAAACATCTGTCCCACTTCTCCCAATGGACTTGAAATAAATGAAATGGATAACATTAATTTTAGCTTTGGACTTCATGTTTGTTAAATGTAGCATGCACAAAAAATTTAAAATGAAAGTATTGATTGTTTAAGTGCCTTTAAAAATCTCCAAGGTTGAAAGAACCTTAAAAAGCTCCAAAATGTTGTGATCGGGGCCGGGGAGATGGCTCAGTGGAATAAGCGCTTCCCTGGCAAGCGCAAGGGCCTGAGTTCAATTCCTGGTTCCGCAAAAAAAAAAAAAAAAAAATGTTGTGATCTGTGATAACTGATCTCACATGCATGTAAATTAATCATGACACAATTCCCTCAACATCCTGGAAATGCACAGCATTATCTGCTCAGGTTGCACTGCAAACAATTAGACCCAGGGCCAGGAGTCTGCGGCAGTACAGAAGAAAATCTTGCCTTCCTTTCATCCTACCAGCCCAAGTCTTCTTGCTGCAAGTGTGGAATGGAAGGCAAGTGAGCTGTGATCTGCAGGCAAGAAAAGAACAAGACTCTACAGAATCCTAGTAGAGCAAGTGGAATAGGTAGAATTCCATGAAAACATCGGCAATTTCTGACCTTTACATGAAAGCATCACAGAAGTTTGACACAGGAAGGAGAGAGACTCTGCTATGTTCCCTTATGATGGAGATTTAAGAAATTAGAGCCTGAAGAGACCAAGCAACAAGTCCAAGGCCATCCAGCGTTTCTGCAGCATTCCCCTGGAAGCCCCAAACTGCTGCTGTGACCAACTGTGCTGTGTGTTCACAGTACTAAATGTCTCCTTTTTCCTTTCTGGGTTACTTAGCCCTTTTCAGTCACCTACAAATCAACCAGCACCTGTGTCAGTAAAACAGACAAGATTTTTCACAACCTGAATTCAAGAGGAACACCGGGCTCTACAAACAAGTTCTCATGTGGTTCTACATGGAGACTCACCCTGATCTTACAAGTACACCAAATAATATTACAGGGATAATGATCCTTCAACAGTCCAAAGTGGAAGACAAGATACCATGTCTGCATTTTGTCTTCTGAATAACTACTATGAAGACAACAATATGCAATGTACTAATTATTGTAACTGTCCTACTAAACTGTTTGGAAACTTTTCATTGTTATTTTATCTTTTTTTCTTATTAAAATGAATAAAAAGCTGGCTGGCAGGTTAGCTCAGTTGTCTAAAGCACCTTCTTGAGCAAAACCAATTGGGGGCAAGAGAATGCGGTTCAATCCGCAGCAGCACATGCAGCACCAGACCTGCCTTTAAAGGCAACCTGAGCCAGTCA